CCCCCTCATTTTACTCCTCTCCTGGACCATATGGGGGCCTGCCCTCAGTGGTCTGGCTGACCCTGGGTTTTGTTTTTTCTCCTGGACCCTATGGGGGCCTGCCCTCAGTGGTCTGGCTGACCCTGGGTTTTGTTTTGGTAGTGTCCCGGAAACAGAGTGTAATGATCCACAAGTCGATTTATTTTGATGTATTTGTCTACTTGTATTTGTATCTTTAGTTTTTGAGTTATTATTATTGTATTGTCTTGTACTGACTGCTGAAATGTGGAGTTTGGAATGTTGCTCTGTAATTGTCATTGTCTTACTGTGATTGTTTTATGTATGAAAATTCAATAAAAACTTTACCTGTTAAAAAAAAAAAGATGACCATACACTGGGAGAATTTGGTTTGAAGGTTCATCAGAACATTCGATCACGCCATCGCTGAGTCAGCTAATTTAGTTTGAAACCCCTTACACCCCTTTTTGTGCCTAGCACATGTGCAAACAAAAACTTCAGTCACTGGTAGAACTTTGTTCATTCAGATAAGATTTTCCTCATTGCTACAGTCAAAAATGAACGTTGATTAGAGCCAACTAAGAAAATCGAAGGGCATTCTGGCCAGCTTTACCCAATCCCAAAAATACAACTAATAAAGACAACCCTAATTATTGTTAAACTTTAACCACTTAAAGACCATCATAAACAGGACCTTCCTATCTACAAAAACTCTGATTATTGATATTGGACTTGAGTAAAAAATCTTGATGTGACCCCGGTGTCCTAGTTTCTGCTACTTGGTGGATTTACACAGTACCACCATTTTGTGTGCACCCACTTTCATGCTCATCGACAAGGAGTCAACACCATGAGGGTTGTTTATATTTGCTGCTAAAGCTGAACTCCAGGAATTATGTTTATTAAAAGGAGAACTATGAGATGAGTGATTTCTACTCACCTCATAGTTCTAGCCGACCTGTGACAATGAGACTGTCACAGGTCGGCTCAGTAGATCGGGAGGTGAGGGAACACATACCGGGTTCACTCACCTCTCGATCCTGTCACGGCTCTCTGCCGTGACAGGGGAGGGGCTGGATTCCCCTTTCCCCGCTCCGATCTGCCAGCGCTGACTGGCGGAACGGACGGGGGAGGGTACAGCTGGCTCTGCCTCTAGATAGGCAGAGCCAGCTGTCACTCACGTAGCTGGGCGGATCCCGTCGTCTAAGTCGGGATCCGCTCCGGCGTCTCAGTATACCGCGAGCTGTAGCTCGCGGTATACTGAGCTTAAGGTAACGGGAGGACGCTAGTTTGTGTCCTCCTGTTACCCTAAGGAGAACTATGGGGAAAAACACTGACCCCATAGTTCTCCTTTAACCACTTGTTGACCCAGTGCTTACACCCCCTTCCTGTCCAGAGTAGACCATTTTTCAGTATTCAGCGCTGCGCTACTTTACCTGACATTTATTCCGTCATGCAGCGCTGTACTGAAAAGAATCTGATACCATTTTTAGGGACACATAGAGCTTTCTTTTGGTTGTATTTCATCACCATTGCGGTTTTTATTTTTTACTATATTAAAAGGAAAAATTACTGAAATTTTTTTTACATTATGTTATAATACATTTATAATACATTTATTATTTTTTTGGTAAAATATAAAAGACGGGGTTACATCGAGTAAATAGACACCAAACATGTCAAACATTAAAATTGCGCAAAACCCGTGAAAAACTACCATACCCAAAATTGACCATAGGCAACGCTTTAAAAGCTTGTACTGCTCATCAGTTTAGTGTTATCAGTGATTGATGGCCCTAGAATTATTGCTCTCACTGCGGCGTTCACGGCGATATGTAACATGTGCGCCGTAATGGGCGCAATTCGCACGTATGCGCACCGGACACATGTTTGCAGGCATGTATATATGGGTGGGGACTTGGAGAGGAGGGTCTTTTAAGCAGATTAAGTGACGTGTTTCCTGTGTGTGGGGGAGGAGATTCCATCTCGTGATGCTGTCCTGGAAGACGTTATGGGAAAACTATTTTTTAATTCCTTTTCATGAGTGACTTTAATTTTGTTTCCACTTAACTTTATTGTTGTCACATAGGGGGCTAAGAAACCCCCCTATGTGAAAGGAAAGAGATGCGACAGGTCCTCTTTATGGAGACATCAGGAATTTTCAAGACCCCTAATGTCACCTAGGAACCCCAAAGAAGCTGATGAAGCACAGATCTGCTTCATCAGCTTCTCTCCAGCTTCTGAAGCTGGAGAGTGACACAAGAATGCAGAAGTAATGTAATATACATCACTTCCGCATTCTGACAACGGAGAGGGGATGGAGGGAGATTGTGTACCGATCTCCATCTGATCCCCTGTCACAGAGCCCCCATGCTAGTCCCGAGCTCTCACCGGGCACAGCGGAGCCCGGGACCAGTGGGAGGGGGGCCGCGCTCCAATCGGTACCCCATACAAGCAATCTGCCGGCTCTATAGCCGGCGGATAGCTTGTATGTAAACAGGCATCGCTGCCTGTTTTAAAAATGTGGTCGTTTCCTGCGTGCGAGTGGGCTAAAAGGACGTCTTTTGACGGCCCATTACATCCAGGAAGCTCCCGGCTGGTCGTTTTGTTACAACGCCCGGTTGGGAGGCGGTTAAACTTACATCGGGCCAGCTTGAATACATAATTATTTATGTGTCACATACAGAAATTCACATACTGAAATTCATCCGTTCAGTGAAGTCTGCTCTGTTCCTGGTGCTGCTAGAGCCACCTGCCATCTGTACACTGAACACAGGGAGTAGCTCGCTTCGATACCTCCGCCATTCAGCAAACATTTTGAATACAAGGCATTCTCTGATTTGACTTGGTGGTGATCGTGACATCATCTACCCCTCCTCTCCACCATCCAATCAGAGAACCCCTTGCATACAAATGTTTTCTGGAAGGTGAATTGCTGAATGAGGGACTCCCTGTGTTCAGTATACAGAGGGTAAGTCACTGTAGCAGAGCCTGGAACAGGACAGCATTGACCGTATGTAGCTTGGACTACTACAGTGAATTTCTGCAACACGACACGCAGATAATGACATGCAACAAAGCTGGCCCAAGGCAAGTTTTATATCTCCTCCAGTGTTTGCTCACATCCTGCACCAAAGACCTTTCTCTTGCTGGCCACGCCTGAGCAACAGAGCCCTATAGATTTCTATGGGACTTGCCTACCACCATCTCCCAGCCATTGAAGTCTGTCACTTCCTAACCTATAGACTGCAAACCATAGCAAAGTCTGGGTACCTGTACCATGGTCTGTGTGAAATGTGTCATCACTATTACATACAAACCAACTAAAGAATTTGCTTTAGGGGCCTGATCCTTCCAATCATACTGAATATACATGTGTTGCTTTACTGCTATCAATTACAAGGAAAACACCTAGTTAGGTTGTGACAACTGTCAGCCATGTTACTAGAAAACCAGATGGAGACACAAATGGACGGGTATTTGCCAGCAAAGACAAGGAAAACACCTTGCTGGGTTGTGAGCATTGTCAGCCATGTTACTAAAAAAACAGATTGAGACACAAATGGATGAGAGAAGCTAATTAAAAACCAAAGCAATCTCTTGTGTGAAGCTACTCAATATTTGTTTAATATGGATTCCCAGGTGACGGTAGCTGGCATTCATAGATCTCTGAGAACGTCATCAGTTAGACCTCCCTGGCATTGTTACAGGAGCTTTTACCATCTACCGTAGAGTCTCACTCCTCCTGCTGATCTCCCCATGAAGAGGACCTGTCACATCCTCTTTGTAATCACATAGGGGGATTTTTAGCCCCCCTTAAGAAAGATTACAAATATTAAACGTGTTCACTCTGGAAATTAGGTGATTAAGGGGGGACATGATTGTACAAATTGTTTAATGGTGATGGTAATATCAGTAATAAACGGTTTACTGTAAACTCCCTAAAGAAGACAAGAGGCACTACCTGAAATTAGAGGAGAAAAGGTTTAACCACAAAGGGTGGAGGGGCTTCTTCTTTTGGGATAAAGTAAAGTTGTGGAACTTTCTTCCACAAGCAGTGGTGTCAGCAGAGTATTGATTCATTCAGGAATGGTTTGGATGCACAGGTACTCTGACTGGTAAACACGGACACTCACAAAAGGTTGATCTCAATGGACCTATGTCTTTATTCAACCTCAAATACTATAAAACCATGTATATGATTTACTAGATATTGTTCTGTCCCACCATTATTGCTATTCTTCTTTTGAATACTCTCTGCGTACTACTTTTCCTGGGACCTCGTCCTTGTAATGAGTCATTCCCACTTATAGGACTCGATGTCCATTAAGTTGACTGTTTGCTGATTGCCATCATTTTTGATCCTTCGATTAGGATAAGGAATTTTCCCTCTAAGTCAGTCCATCTTGTGGGCTCCTGCTCTTATGTTACATCGTGGTTCACGTCAATTTTACTGTCGATGTATCTCCCAGTACTCATCACACCGCCACTGGATGACCAACACTGAGATATGGAGCCAACCCTGACATAACATGTTTATGGAGGAATTGATATTGTTGTATATGGGACAGCTGACCAGTGTTATGTGGGGTACCATACATGGTTCAACACCCAAAATGTAACTAGTTTGTGATAACTAGTTGTGGTGAGTTGGTACCGCAAAAGTCCACATTGTTTCTGTAAATTCTATACAATTATTACATATATGGATGTAGTATATAGAATATATCTCACATGTTATGTGTACGTAGTACATGGAATATATTTCACACAGTATATATGTATGTTGTATATGGAATATCTCTCACATAGTACTCCATGCATAGAGTTGACAGAGTTCGTTTGTGTTCTCTCTCGTGTTCTCTCTATCTATCTATCTATCTGTGCTCTCTCTCGTGTCCTCTCTATCTATCTATAGATAGATATCGTTCTATATCTCACACGGTGTATATATACGGAGCACACAGGGTTCTATATCTCACACACAGGGATGTAGGGCTCACCAGAAGGCAGCGTTGAGGCTGAGGTGGAGCAGGGCGCTGTGCCGGGGTCTCTCCCACACCAGGACGGCCTGTAGGTAGGTGATGATCGGCTCGTAGTTCCCCAGGCTCCTCAGGAAGGATTCCTCCACAGCTCGGACCTGTTCATCTCTTTCCCGGGCGACCGAGCCTCGTCCTCCCCCGCTCCTCGCCCTCCTCAGCCCCGAGATCTCATCCTCCTCCTCCGCTCTCTGCGCCATCTTGAATTCACCTCCCGAACTCACCAGGTTGTCAACATTGACGTCACTCCTGGGCTCTGACGTCAGAAAATAAGAACTTTACACTTGTTATTCAATCCATACAATTCGATCATCAAGACGATAACAAGCCTGAGTCATGTGAGAAAAATGAAACCCAACCTACCGGTAGCACAGCAGCTCAGTAGAGACCGACCCTCCGTGTCCCCCCTACCCGCCACTGTCGTAAGGCTGTCTAAGGCGCCTGCGCAGACCTGTCATCCACTAAATAACATGGCGGCCCCCGTGTTCAGTACAGAATACTTTTTTCCCCGTGTATTTTTCCGTACAGCTTGCTGTCAACGTCTCCCTCACTCTACCCAATCAGCACAAAGGTCGTACCCTCATGTTTCGGTTCTCGTAGCAGGAAGCAACATTCCGTACAATGACGTCACCAGCGTGGCTGTCAATTCAAAGATGACTGGTCGTACTGTGCAGTTCCTGTGGCTTTGTTGTTCCGTACAGTGACGTCAAGCCGCAGTTAGAGGAGCAGAGCGCGGGCGGCGGAGCGGGAGAGCAGACAGCGGTATTATAGTGAAGCATGCCTCGGGAGATCATCACCTTGCAGCTCGGCCAGTGCGGGAACCAGAGTCAGTATCACATTGCATTATTGCTACTATATTATATATAGATGCATTGTAATGGGTTCCTTTCGTGCCAGGGTGCTTTCCATTGGTAGTGTACATTGTTCGGGCGCCTATTCCTGTATTTGATGATTTACTTTAGGGAAATGAGCATTATGTACAGCTAATAGGGGAATCAGAGGGAGGAAAGTTTGGCAGATGTATTAATCGCATGTCATTGATGATGCATCTTAAGTGGAGCCATTCCCATTCATTTTTAAATGATCATTCCCCACTGCTCTATACATCCCATATGCCATGAATAGTAACCTTACCTGTGCATGTGCACTGGAGGGATAGAGGGGGGTCAGATCACATTCCACCTACTTCACATTGTTGTCTCCATAAACTGTTTAGCCCTTCTCTAACGGACAGTTATGTGAAATATTGGGGGTATGTACTAGAACTGAACCAGACAGAATCTGGAGATGCTGTGCAAAATAACCAATCAGCTTCTCTCTTCAGTTTTTTCAGTTAACTTTCAAAATGAAAGCTAGAAGCTGATTGGCTGCCGTGGTCAGCTGCTCTAAATTCTGTCTACTCCAGCCCTAGTAAATTTCCCATATTGTGTTCTGATGGCTATATGTGGGTAATCTCTCTATTGATCGTATTCAGTATATTTGTGCTTTTTTTTTTCCCCTACTGTTTCATGGAGCCAAGCAGACCAGTATTGACACTGACACAAGTTTGGATGAAGTCTAACACTGTCGGAGTGTTTAAAGGAGAATTATGAGGCGAGTGATTTTCACTCAGCCTCATCTGAGCCGACCTGTGACAATGAAACTTTCACAGGTCGGCTCAGTAGATCGGGAAGTGAGCGAACACATACCGGCGCTCGCTCACTTCTCGATCTGTCCCTGCTTAGAGCCGCGACTGTCCCTCCCTTCGGCTCCCTGCAGGGATTCCCGCCTCCCCTGTCCGATCCTCCAGCGCTGACTGCGAAACGGATGGGGTGCGGGGGCAGGCACAGCTGGCTCTGCCTCTAGATAGGCAGAGCTAGCTGTCAATCCCGCAGCTGGGTGGATCCAGACAGTATTGTGGGGATCCGTCCCGGCTGCGGCGTCTATACCGCGAGCTGTAGCTAGTTTGTGTTCTCCCGTGACCCTTAGGAGAACTATGGGGAAAACCCTGACCCCATAGTTCTCCTTTAATCAGTTACCACCACATTTAGATTTAAAGCCCAAGAGAACTTTAAGTTTAAATCGGCTAAATGCATCCCACATGTCTGTCTGCCTCCTGCCAGCATGCTGCAGATAAGGACACTCCTCTCTGTGTGGAAGCAGTGGTCTCTCTGCTGAGGTCTGACCAATAGCTTCGCAATCAGCATAGCTTATGCTCACTGCTGACTGGAAAGCTCTAGCTTTGATTCATTTGGGGGATGTGTGTTAGACTTCTGCAGAGAGACCATTGCTTCCTCACAAAGAGAAGGTTCTTTCTCCTCGGCATGCTGGCAGGGGATGCACATGATGATGCTTTTGATGCACATAAAATGTATTTGGCTGATTTTAGGGTTCATTTACACCACCCAGATCAGGGTATTTCTGCAGGGGGTATGGCCAGATGATTACGTTGAGCTGAGGCTGTGTAGCCTGTACAAATCAATGACGTGAGGCATGTTCAGGTGCTCAGGCGCTGCGAGTGCTGAGTTAACAAAATGCAGCTCAACGCTGTGCAACGAATCGGTGCTCGGCACTGCTAACCTCGTACTGGCAGCGGAAGTGAATGTGCATGCAGAGTACAAAGTGTGAAGGAGAAGGTAGGGACAGAGCGCCAGCGGCCATTTTAACTGTGGGCACACCTGACAGCACTGGAGAAAGGTTCCTGAACCCCTATGGAGGAAAGCAGTTCATTGTGGGAACCTACAATTTAATTTTTTGGTGGATGAGCACACCAAATATTAGTTGAAAAATGGTATTTATTAGTCAAAATTATTATCCTGCGCCATTTTGCTTGGCACTGTGAAGCCGAAGCGTTCAGTGAAGCTGCTGCAGCGAACTGAAGTGCTGCAGAACAGCTACTTAGCGCTTGGCTAAGGAACTGAACGTGCCTCTGGTGACAGGCTTTGCAGCTGTCTGCGTGTATTTGGACATGGAACCTATGGATTTCTGAGCCAGGAAACGTAGGTGTCCTTGGTTAGATGCATCCACTGTGCACATTAAAGTATTAGACAGGATGACAGCGGTTGCATGTGAAGAGGACACCTGGGTTTCCTGCCACAGGAATCTGTAGGTTCTTGCCGCAGGAATCCCGGAACGCCCCATGTGAATTTTGCCTCAGAGGTGAGAGACCTTCCTGGCTGGAAAGTTTGGTGAGAGTGGAATCTTCAAACCAGAAAGCTGGAATCCAAAATATATTGAATCAGTTACCGCAGTCCAGATAAAACCATTAATAGGTTGGACTTGATGGACTAATGTCTTTATTCAACCTCAAATACTATGTAACTATGTAACATGTGTAGCCAACAGATTTCAGTGGCCCGCTATGTTTCGGACTTGTTTTTTGTTGTGGCTCTTCTACTTTCCCTCTTCCGGTTCTACCTCAAAGTGGCCGTAGTGACTGAACCATCATCTAAGTTGGCTCTGGACTGCTGTAATTGAATCAATATATTTTGGATTCCAGCTTTCTGGTTTGATGCTTCCACCACTTTTTCCAGCCAGGAAGGCCCCAACTGGTCTCTCACCTCTGAGGTCCCATTCCCACAGGGAGTTCCAGGATTCCTGCAGCAAGAACCTACAGATTCCCTGGGCAAGAATCCCAGGTGTCCCTGTTCAGATGCAACCACTGTCATCCTGTCTATTACTTTAATGTGTGCAGTGGATGCATGGAACCAGGGACACCTACGATTTCTGCCTCACGAATCTATAAGTTCCATGTGGCAGGAATCCCAGGTGTCCCTGTACATTCTTGTCACAATGATCCCAGAATGCCTCACCTCTTGTTCTGGTGATCGCTCTAAAATTGGAGATTTCCCATCAGTGTTTGTCTCGGTAGCAGGAGTCGCCAGGAGGAATAGAGAGGGTTGAAAATTCTTTTATCACACAATTTTTATCAGAGTTGTGTTTTCAGTAAAAAAAATACACTCCAAATTTAATTTTAGTGCGCAGAAACACAACACTCACTTTTTGGTAACCTCCAGGACCATGAGCTGATTGGTTACCATAGACTGATCCAGATTTTGTCTGCTCCAGTTTTAATAAATTGCCCTCATGGTATTTTTCTTAAAGAATACAAGCCATTCTGTGATTAGAAGAGGAGGTAAGGGGCAGGAATGTGACATCATGTCTTATCCTCCAATCACAGAATGCCTTGTATTTTCTGAAAAAATACTGAAAAACGCTCCATAAGTGAAATCCCATAATTTCCTATGTGCATGGTTCCCACCCGGGCGTATTTTAGCGCGTCGAAACGAGCTCAAAAACGCCCTACGCCCAAACAAGTACAGGAGCTTCTTTTGGGGCGTATTTCCGCGCGTATCCACAGCCGGATAGCTCTCGTAAACGCGCGTTTCGTGGACCGCAAATCCCGGTAAAAAGGTGCGTCTTGCGTGCATATTACGAACGCCCAGGTGTGAACCCAGTCTTAGAGTGTTTAGCGTAGAAGCCAGCGTGCTGCAATGTACTTTTTTTATACTTTGCAACACTCTCTCCACATAACACACAGTGTGTTAATTATTATTTTTCCAAGTCATCTTCCAGGTCAGCATCAGAGAGATAGGATCCACCCACCTAAAACAGGAAACGCATTATCCACAATTGAAATAAAAGGGGCGGTGCCGCCCAACCACCTCAGGCTATTGTTTCCATAGGCCTCCCAGTGTATGCTCCCCCGTGAATCAGGGGCAGTGGACCTGGAGGGGTTGCATGCAGGGGCGTATCCATAGCAAGGCAAACAATGCATTTGCCTGCATTTGCCAGAAGGGCAGCAAAACAGTGAGGCAAGCCAGGCTGCACAATATTGGGCTGCCTAATCAAAGAAACTAGGTGGCCGTAAGTCCCTGCTGGAGAAAGAGGTGGGGGAGTGCGAGGTCCCACAACGCCATTTGGGCAGCGGAAGATGCAGGGCCCAGTGGCACCAGTCTGGTAGTGGAGGAGTCCGGGGCCAGGCAGTGCTGGTCCTGCAGTGGAGGAGGCCGGGTTCAGCAGTGGGCGGCTTGAGCTGGTGCCAGAGGTCATCAGGAGGCAGGCTGGGGAGCTGCAGGTAAGAGGATCATACTGTGCTGGTAAAGGGACCCTGCAGAGCCCAGCATAGATTCTGCACACCCTACCTGAGAGTCTGTGGTGGGCTGTGTGGGGTGTCAGGTGGGCTGTTGTGGGTTCTGCAACGTCTGTGTTTTGGGCTCTGTAGGGTCTCAGGGGGGCTGTGCAGGATCTGTGGTGGGCTCTGCAGGGTCTCAGCCTGCACAGCCCACCATGGACCCCGCGGAGCCCATCA